GCTGGAACGTGATCAATCAGATTCATCCCTCAGCTTCCTCCATGGCACTCTAGATGTCTCTTGACCCATTTCAACTCCCTTAACTCCTCTGTAAACATAGGGAGTGCTGACCATGATGGAATGGTCACATGACCCTGTCCAAGGCCTTCATTATTTTCTTATTCCAGGTAGTAGCCAGGGCCTCAGCAGGGCAATGCAGCAGAACCTCAAGAACATCTCCCAGCTCCCTTTGGAACCTCACTATGTCCCTACGTCACCAGGAGCAGACCAATCAATAGGTCCTGCCTCCCTGCAAAGGGGAAAGTATGTGGAAATCTTAAAATAATCAGGGCATGATCTGAGCATGACAGAGGGGACAGGGCAAGTTCCCCCCTCAGATCACATTATCACTGCTCTGACAATGTGTGACCACTATTCCAAATTGGGTCCTGAATAATCTGAGATAAGCCTATGGCTGCCATAGTAGCCATAAATTTCCAAGCTGCTTCTGAAATAAATTTACTTTATTTAATGTATCTTCATTCAATTAAATAGGTTTACTTCTCTAAGTAAGTGGATAAAAGATTTCAGTCCATATTATGCAACAACCTCTTAGAGTACTTAAGAATTTGCTAATTATAAGGAAGACTTTCTGAAATTTGCAAATACATTTAATTTGACCTTAATTAAAGTCAAACTTTCTCTGGTTTTCCACTTTGAATAATACTATGAAAGTTCTCATTATGGTGGAAAATGAATTCCAATTCAACAGTTTAGCTGATTAGTTGCAAAGTGTATTGTGGCATGCTTATAAATATTCATATACTCTACTGCTATATTTAGTGGGTTTCCTTAGAATAGATTTAGTCTATATTTAAAACTTCTTGAGCATGAAAAAGGACTATTCCCTCATAACCAGTCATGTAATCCACCATTTAAAAGTTTAGCAATAAAATAATATTTCCAAAGCAACTAGATGGAAGACAGGGGAAAATAGATGATTTAAGGAAAAAGTACATTATCTTGTGCTGGCTTCAGGATATACACAATATGATCAAGGAATCAGTCTTGCTTCTAGTACAAGATACAATGGTTATTCCCCAAGTGATCTTAGATTATATAAATTCTACTCTATCATGAAACATATGGAAAAATCTAGGTGAGAAAACTGATCGGTATCCAATATGTAGAAAGAATGCTGTAAATCTAGTTTTGTTCTACGCTAGCAGAAGAAATATGAGAAGATAGTTCAGATGAGAAGATGCAATAAAAGATTGCAAGTATTGATGTAATTTATTGATGTTAACACTTTCCAAATGTTGTGATATAGTTTCCTACCCAAGTCCATATATCTTTAAGACAAAGCACATACAGAAATTTGTAAATTAGTAAGAAATTAAACTAGCAAACTATTTCATATTTCAGAGAGAATATAAACCAAATTTATACTGTTACAGTAAAAGAAATAAGACAAAAGAGAGAGAGAAATGAACAAGAAGAATATGAATTTGAAATCGCTGAAGATTTGAAAGAACAAGAAACTGAAGCCTGAAGATTTATTGAACCATAGATGTGATCAAGCTTAACATCTGCGAAATCACTGTTTCTGTTGTTAGTTTCTCATGACCATATATCCCTCCTGTTTTATTTCCCTACAAATTGCTGAATTTTTATAAACAATAACAAACATTTACAGTGAAATGCAGATTTTAAAAGATATTGTTATATTGTTTTTTCCAAAAATATGCATTTATAAGTAGTTGTTTGCATATCTTTATTTTTTTTCCCCACTATAAAGTAATACAACCAGTTATATTCATCCAAGGACCAATCATTTTCCCCCTGCAGTAACTGTTCTCAAGGTCTCAATAAAGAACTTTTGGATTGATACTGAATAGCATTTTCTGGTCTTTTAAGGAATCAAAATGAGAATCAACCCAGGGTAAACTTCCTTTTTCTCTTCAGATTCTACATTTAAATAGCCTTCTAAAGATATTTGATGATTTTAAATACTGGCTATTTGGCACATGTAACACAAGTACTCTGTGAGTTGCATTGGTTGCCAAGGTGCTTCTGGATGTAATTCAGGTGCTGTTTGTCATTTTTAAAGCTCTTTCTGGCTTTGAATGGGTTACTTAGGGACCATCTCTCCTTAATTGTTTCTATCTATCTGATCTGGTTATGCAGGATGGGCATGCTTCATATCATGTCAGCTAAGTTGGTAGGACCTAGAAGATGTATCTTCTCTGCCGTTGAGCCCCACTATGGAACATTCTTCCTCTGGAGATCAGGATAGCCCTCACCATGCTTGCCATTTGTAAATCCCTAAAGACTATTTAGGTTCTGTCTAGGGTCTAAGGCTCCAAATGTATTCAGGGACCCATTTCATAGTTATATTGATAATTATGGAATATATTTTCTCTGCTTCTGGGTTTTTTTTAGTTTGTATTATTGCAATTGTTTTTACTTCATTTTAATTTTTTTTACCATCCAGAGTCACTTGTTGAGATTGGTGGTCATAAAATTAAATAAATAAATAAATAAATTTCAATCTGTAAATTGTTGTAGAAACTGGGTTGATATATCCTTGACTAAAGTATGGATTCAAACTAAACATTTTTGCACTTCTCCAGATGTTTTGGGTAACTGTTTTACAAACTATGTCCATTGACCATCTGGCTAGCCTCATTGGCAGTTATAGTTCAAGATATCTAGAGAAGTTTACAATACTTGCCCCTGAATTAATGTTCTTTCAAAATGAAGAATGCCTATAAAGTTATTGTTTTAGAAGAGAATTTTAATTGTATTTTTCTTTTAACTCAAAAGTGGATATTTTCTACATTTCCACATAATCTTTGAGTAAATGAAAACTGCTATGATATAATAAAATGTTCTCATTTTTTGTCCTCTAAACTAACAGATACTTGATGATCTCAGTTCACTAATAAATGGAGTCAGTATGTTTATTTTCCTCAACAATTTTAAATGTGTACACAATTTTAAGAATATATCACTCTTACAGTCTGGGATATGTCAAGATTCACATAAAGCCAAATAAAATATCCTCCACCCTGCTTCATAATTTGACAAGTCCAAAACACATCCTACACACAGCAGCTGAATGTCTTGAATTCATCACAGTTCTTCAATATGTTGAAAAACGGGTTCATCAATTTCAATTCCAGAGTATTGCTGAGTATTTTTTAGGCATTCAAAATACCAGAATGCAAAACACAACACATAGACTACAAATACAAGATTGTTTAGAATGATAAATACTATGATAAATAAAAACTGTTTGCTTAATTACAAAAGCATTACATTTTATTGAATTATACAGTATTTAAGTAGAATATGAATATTTGATGGCATGGAAGTTGTGGTGGCTTAAATAAAATGCAGCTTAAAACATTTTAGTTTCTGCAGCAAAATTATGCAGTAAAATCTACTAATTTTCCCATGCCAGCATAGTTTTATACATAAATCAGCACCATAACGCCCCCTTCTTGGCCTTTTCTTAGTTATACATCCCCAAACATTGTTATATTTTCTTTATTTTGTATTAGTTTAGGGTTTAAATTTCTTTTCTTTTTTTCAGAAGAAAAGCTTTTTATTTAAGAACAGAACCTTTGCTGGATTAGATTTAAAGTCTACCTAGACCAGTTTTCTGTTTCCACAATGACCTTTTCAGATACCCAGAGAAATCCTGTTTGTTGCTTCAATTGATTCAAGTATTTAATTGATATCCAGAGGTACTGTATTTGTGTTCTTGAAAGAATAATGAAGTTGTCATGACAAGCTGTTTTGATTGTTTCATGATCCATTCATTCATTTCACTTCCTCTTTAAAATCCTCCATATCAGGCTATGGAGCATAATCCCTGATAAAATATGCAATTTTTTCCCAATTTGATGTTTTCTACAGTATGTGCTGGGCAGAGCAGTATCGTAACATCTCTTGCTTGGTATAAAACTTTCACTATTCAGCTTAATTTGATGCTCCTTATTATATATTATATTACTATTCTGTCACTTAATAGTGTCAATTGGAAAAGAAAACACTAAATCTACCCATCCCAGCATAGTTTTATACATAAATCAGCACCAGAACTCCCATCTTCTTGGCCTTTTCTTAATCATATATTCCCAAACATTGTTATATTTTCTTGAATTGAATTCAACCTTTTTATTCTTGCACCTTTTCACTGGTCCTTCTTCCTTTCTTGGCTAGTCTGCTATGTTATTCCATTGGCACTTTGTGGAAATATTCCAGGCTCCCTCCACCATGCCTGCCTTTTTCTTTTTGGTTACTTCCAGTTTGCCGTGCAATTTTACTGTTTATCACTTTTTTTCTTTGCCTCTCTCTCTTTTTCAAACTAAGTTAATGTCCTCAGGTTCTAGCTGGATTCACTTCCACATATTTTCATCCTAAAGTTTCTATGTAGTTCTTTAAACCTTGGAATTAGTACTACCACATTTGGGATTCAAAACTCCAGATGACCACAATATAGCAGCATAAAGGTAAACAAACTCAGAAATGTTGCTGCTTTCTGATAGTATCCTGAAGTCTTGCAGCTTAGATCTGGAAGCCCTACTGAAATCCATCAAAGTTTCTCTTTTTTACCTGTATTGTTTTGGCTACGTAACTTACTTAAGGATTGGGATTTGGAGAATCATTTCACTATTACTATATCAATTACACGCTATATCAATTTTCCAAAAGCATCTTTGGAAAAGTGAATCTGGTAACCTTCTAACATGTTTGAGGTTTACTTCAAACCTTGTACTATAGCGCCTGGTGCTTCCTGTATATTTGATTATTCTTTCATGGTTGAAATTGTATTGAAATTGTATTTCATGACTGTTTTTATTGTATGCTATGTTGGGTGGTCTTTTACATGTTTAAATATTTTTTTTAAAAAAAGCTTGGACATTGTAACAATTATCCACATATTTTCCTAGTGTTTCTGGAGTGTGGCATTGTTTACCTTTCTTGTTAAATTGCAAATGTATCTTACTTACAAAAGTGATATTTTCAAATGATGGTTGTACTATTTGTAGAAGGAGCATCTGTATCACTGGATCCAAAGCTGCAATGCAAAGAAAGGAGAACAAAGAATCAATTTTATTTTGTAATAAAGCAGGAGGGAGAAATAGAACCGAGTATTGTCAAAATGATATGGCTACTGAAGTAAAATAAATATTAACAGCAGGGGTATCATTAGAATTGTTCTGGATGGAATTTCACTTTTATTTTGTTCTCTTTATGTTTTGCCTTATACACTGAAACAGGACATTTCTCAATTTTATGTTAAAAACATTTCTTTAAGCTTGCATTTGGTTCTATATTGAAAAAAAATTAAACAGTTAATTTAACAAAAGTTTTGCAATAGAAGAGACAATATGTAAGGCTGAACTGTGGAGTCCTTGGTAGTATCTAAGCTTGGTTGCTTGTTTTCGGATATTTCATTCCTAGACTAGATAAAATCATTGGCGCCAGTGAGTGTGAGGTTTGTTTAATTCTTATAATTTTATTCCAGTCTGGCCTACTTTAAAAAGTTTCTTGAGAGGATAAAATAAAATACAACCATGTTTGGGCTCTTGAAGGAAGTCCAATGTTATTAAAATCAAAAGGCCCCATTGCTAGGATCTGGATCACCTCTTAAACTTCTTTTTAAATCCCAAGTGTGGTGACCACATTTTACCTGCAAAAGTCTAGCTAACAATAGCCCAGATCTGCCAGCCCAATTACCAGGTTTATTTATTTATTTATGAGACTTATATACCGCTTTAAGTGCAAGCACTCTCTAAGCGGTGTACACCAGTAAGCAATGTAAATATATATATATATATATATATATATATATATATATATATATATATATATAATATATATATATATATATATATATTTACATTGCCCCAACAATCTGGGTCCTCATTTTACCTACCCCGGAAGGATGGAAGGCTGAGTCAACCTTGAGCCGGTGAGATTTGAACTGCTGACCTGCTGAACACAGTCAGCTAAAGTGGCCTGCAGTACTGCACTCTAACTGCTGCGCCACCTCGGCTCTTATACATGCAAGGCATCAGCATTATTAGATTTCACCCTGTTTGTTTGCATGTGTGTATGTGTGTGTAATTGAGTCAATGTTGACTCCTGGTGACTGCCTGGGCAAGTCCCTGCAGGGTTTTTTTGACAAGGTTTTTGGTAATGATTTGCCATTCCTGCTACTTTGGGTTGAGAAAGGGTCTGACCTAAGATAGTTTCAAGCTTAAAGCAGAACAAGAATCTTGGTTTCTAGTCTGATACCTTAACCACTATTACAACACTTACAGTATATGTTCTGTCTCTAAACCTATTTAAGCTAAAAACATACTGTTATTCTGACTTTTGTATCAGTTCTGGAAGTTATTCTGTCTCTTAATCCTCTGGAAATTGAAATTTCTTCCAATTTCTAATCTGACTTTTCTTTAGTCTTTGTTCCTATCTATATTATTTATTATTACTATTTTGAATCACTCTTGTCTACTTAGGTTTCTAAAACAAAAATGCTGAAGATCAGCTAAAGTTATTTCATATATTGATGAATTGTAAATGCAACATTTTTTTATCATGACAACCACATAGCTCCACACCTCGATGACAGTCCATAAATACCCCATAGGCATCTCCAAGAACTGAAGGACCTATAAAAATGTACATACAAATTAGGTAAATATGTAACATTTTTGATATACCGAAAAAGCATTCTTGTTTCATTATCATCACGTGTTGTTATTCTCTACTTATTTACATAGCTTATATCATTCTGACACAAATATTTTAATAGTCCTGCATTTGAAAGACAAATAATATTTTTTTCAATGAATGTTATTTGTATCATGTGTTCTTTTTTCCTGATTTCATCACAGAAATAATGCAATCAAAATATAAAGTAAATGATAAAATATGCATTGCAATTTCACAAGGCAGGACAAGAAACAATGGATGGAAAGTGATCAAGGAAAGAAGCAACCTGGAATTAAGGAGAAACTTCCTAACAGTGAGGACAATTAAGCAGTGGAACAGCTTGCCATCGGATGTTGTGGATGCTTCATCACTGGAGGTCTTTAAGAAGAGACTGGACAATAACTATGTTGCCATGTTGCGTATATGTACAGCATTATTGGCCCAAGACATTATACTGTCTGAAATGAATCCCCTTTCCATTCCACATACAAACAGCTATAGTTAGATATTTCTTCAACACTGACCAAGAAAAATCTTATATTTCATTTAGAACCATCATGGGTTACAGGATAGTGATGACTAAATGGTACATAGTTTTATTATTCAGCATAATGCTATAGTTTATAACCTACCATCTAATTCCTAGAATTAGCAGCAAATGGAGTGATGCAAAAATGTAATGCTTCAGGAGTGGGTTCTACCAGAGAGGTTTTTCCCATAAAGTGTGAGTAAAATCTAATAGGCTTGGAATTCTCTGCTGTCTCACATAGAACTCTTGGGCAAAAAGCAACCAAATGCTCGAATTTTGGGCTGCTTCTCTTCCTTGTAGTTGCTGTACAATTATTCTAATCATTACTATGGTTAACTTGCTCAACTAGATGACTGAATCCTGTTCTTTTTTCTGGTATGTTTAATCAGTGGTGGGATTCAAAAATGTGAACAACCGGTTCTCTGTGTGGATGCCGCTTCCAGAGGTCCATTCTGGGCCTGGAGGAAAAAAATTAGCTGCTGGTTCTGCCGAACTGGTGTGAACTGGCTGAATCCAACCACTGTGTATTTTTCCTTGCATATAAATAGCACTGCCAGACTCTAACTATACAGACTGCTGTCATTATGTTGTATCTCTTGCATTTGTTAAATGGTAAATTGGTAGCAAATCCACCCTGCTCTTAGAAAAGTCACCAGCTTTGAAGAACAGAATTCAAAAGAGAAGGAAAAAGAGAAGGAAAGAATACAATATGTTTGTTTGCAGCATAGGGCCCGCAGATCAAGATTCTGCCATATTTTTTTTTCTCAATTCCAGACAAAACTCCTTCTCTCAAAGTCCTGTTTTCAGGAGGTATTTAATAAACTAAATAAGTCTTTACTGACCATTGACAACTGTGCTATATGGCAAAACCTTTGTTAGAATTTGGCCCTAAAAATCAGTGCCTACAAGCTGGAAAATAAAAAAGGAAAAGAGCTAAGAGTTTTGATAATTTGCCTTAGCCATTTATTATTTTCATCTTATTAAGTATCTATGCAATATGGAAACAGAACATCTAAATAAACTGTTATGCCTGCATAAAATCTTTGATATCTCATTGTTCACCCTTTCCTCCCAATTTGGCTTCCTTCATCAACCTCAGTTTGCTGCATTAGCAACTACAAATCAATGTATTGATGCTATGGCAACAGCATTGAAAGCAAAATTTCTTCTTAAATGAGCAATTACTTAAAACCTTGCTTTCTCCATATTCATCTCCTATAAATGTGCTGAGTTTTTTGATATATTTTTGTTAACTGCTTATAAAAACAGCTGTTTGTGGTTACATTAGTTTGGTTTGGTTTGGTTTGGTTTGGTTTGGTTTGGGTTAGGGTTAGGGTTAGGGTTAGGGTTAGGTTAGGTTAGGTCTAATGAACAGTGTTTCTATAAACACTTTTGAATTTAATGGAAACTGAAAGCAGCCTATAATAAAACATACTGAAGGTGCAATCCTTCGTATAATGGAAGTTTTCCAGATATTTTTTCTGCTAACTGTAATATGTACAGTTAAATGGAAAATATATATAGTATATATTCTAGAAATTGTCAGACACAGTTTTATGTTAGATAGCTTGGTAATTTTTTTTACAGAAAGAACATCTTATTTCATAGGGAACAGCTATTTAGGAGTTTTGTCTTTTTCTAGAATCATTTCTACTATCTAAAAAAAAACAGGAGCCTTATTGTGAAAAAGCCATCTGAGTACATATATTATTTCACAGTTGTTCTTTAAAATAAATCTATTTGCCAGCTTCATCCATCATATGGATCCATAGTTATGTCATTTCCCATTTATATAGTCAACTTTTAAAATAAGATTTCCTGATTTTCCCTCTTCATTTAAATTTATTTCCTGTAACAACAGCAGTTACTCAACTTCTCAGTTGCAAAAACAGTTTTGAAGGTTTCATTTTGTTAGGAGTCAATGTGCAGGTCAGCAGCAAAATATGTACTTGATAACTAAGAAAAATAACATCACTGTAACATTTCTACTCAAAGATGTTCCTTCAGTGAGGCTTGGATTAATCACTGTCACTCAGTCACTAGTCAAATTCTTATGTATGGTGATTTACAGAAGAAAATTCCATGGAAACCCTTGTTGAGCTTTAATTGATTTGAACCTTACCATCTGCATCCTAGCCACCCTTTTTTCATGTTTTAAAAATACATCTGTGTGACATCAGGGATAAAGAAAAGTAGAATAAGAGGAACACTTCTTGGAAAGACAGTCTTTGAAATGCTGGTGGGCCAATTTACTCCTTTTTTTACAGATGGGTAAGAAAACAAAACTACACTGAGAAGATCTCTGCCAATGTAAGCTCCCAAGCAAAGTGTTCTTCCAACATCAAAGAAAATTTCTTCTCCATTGTGGACTTTCTTTCCTGCTAAACATACCTAGGCAGAAATGCATGACATTTTCAAATGGACATTCCTGAATAGTGTACATTGATACAGCAGAAATGGGGAAATAGACCATTTCCAGGATAAATTGCACTGAGAAAAACATTACTGAGGAACCCTAAAGCTATTTCTTGGCATCATCTAATCATACATGTGTTTCTCAAGTCATCCTCCATCTGAGTCCTGTGGAGTTTTGATGTTTCCATAAAAGTCTTTTACGTTATTATTTTTCCACCATTTGTTGGAAAAGAAATTGAAATGGAATTTCCATGCAGGAAAAAGAAGGATTGCACCATCTAAATGAAATGATGCAGAGAAAATTCCAATTTCAGAAGAGTATGCTTCTTTCTTCCTTTCCAGGAATAATTGACAATATTTACTTTGAATTTTACATATTTTAAGAAATGTAATAAATGTTAGACTAATTTTATT